ACTACCTGTATTTAGTCTACTTGAGTTATTTGAAATTATTGTTACAGCTGTTACCAAGATGTAGCTTGTTTTAATGTTTAATTTTAAAAGATGCTTACTCAAAAATAGTTGCAAAGTGTTTTTAGGCTTCATTTGAAACTTCTAAGCATAATAAAGAAAGCTTGTTTGAGCAAAAAGAAGTGGGTTTTGTATGATACCTTTGTTACTGTAATTATATCAAGCTTGTCAAGAAAGAATTCTGAGCAGTGCTTCTATATACAGAAGTCATAATTTGCTAAGGAAAAAGTGTTTGTTTTTATAAAGTTATTTTAGAGTGGTACAGGTAGTCCTCGACTTACGACCATAATTGAGCCCAAAATTTCTGTTGCTAAGTGAGACATGTTAAGTGAGTTTTGCAGTTAAGTTAGTAACCCAGTTGTTAATTGAATCTGGCTTCCCCATTGATTTTGCTTGTCAGAAGGTCACAAATGATGATCACGTGACCCTGGGACACTGCAATGATCATAAATGTGGGTCAGTTGCTAAGCATCTGAATTTTGTTCATGTGACCTTGAGGATGCTGCAGTAGTTGTAAGTGTGAAAAACGGTCATAAGTCCTGTTTTTTAGTGCAGTTGTATTCAAAGTTATAACAGCACTGAAAAACGGGACTTATGACCATTTTTCACACTTTGTAACATAACTTCGAATGGTCACTAAACAACCTGTTGTAAGTTGAGGACTACCTGTATATGCTTGCTTTTGCAGAATATGTTGGTTCCCTCGGATCTTTTTCAAAGGATGTTTTGGAACGTTTTGTATCTTTGAAATTGTAACAGACCTATGGCATTTGGACTGGACATTTCTTTTACAATATAGTTGTACAAATTGAAAATAGAATTAAGAAACAGTATTGGTAAAATAATTTTTCTCTTTCGTGTATAAAGAACCTACCTGTTTAAAGGATTTAATAAGTTCTGAAGTGATGAAAAGTCAATAATAACTTCTGTTTCAGGATGGAAGGAAAAAAGGTAATATTGTACTTTAAGCTAAAGTCTTTTTTGGTGTGTTTACAGAACAAATCATTTATTAGAATATTTTTAAATAACACTTTAATATTGATTCCTACACTTTAATATTGATTCCTTCTGATAAAAAGATAATAAAGGGATGCAAGAAGCAAATAATGTTGCAGTAGACTATGCTGAACCACTGATAACCTTGAATATATTATTCTTTCTCATCCTTGAAATTATCTTCAAAATACCCAAATATTATGTTTTTTGAAGTTTCACTTCTGTAGCTGGCTGCGTGGATTGTATCATAGCATTTGGGCTTTAATATCTTCTAATTTTTAAGTACATTTTTATTTCTCAAAGGTAAATTTGAAGAGTTTGTTTTCAAAATATTTCTCAGTTACCAAAGTGATTTACAGCTTGATCACGGAATATTATTACCGTATTTCCCAAAAGTAAGACCTACCCTGAAAGGAAGCCTTAGCTTGATTTTTTGGGGTGGGCCTAGTATAAGCCCTACCTCAAAAATAAGCCCTAGTTTTGAAGCGAGGCACATGCTAAAATCAAGCTGGGGTGGGGCGGTGGAGCTTGATTACCGAGCCGAGGTGGCGCAGCAGTTAGAGTGCAGTACTGCAGGCCACTTTAGCTGACTGTGTTCAGCAGGTCAGCGGTTCAAATCTCACCTGCTCAAGGTTGACTCAGCCTTCCATCCTTCCGGGGTAGGTAAAATGAGGACCCAGATTGTTGGGGGCAATGTAAATATATATATACATTGCTTACTGGTGTACACCGCTTAGAGAGTGCTTGCACTTAAAGCGGTATATAAGTCTCACAAATAAATAAATAAATTACCAGGCCTCCCATGAATCGACACCTGCCTTTCCTTGCTGGTCCACTTCTGTGGCATCGCCTGGCCTGCATTTCACAGTCAGAAGCCTTTCCGGATGGCCTCTGCAGCTGAGAACTGAGCTATGGATTCAAGCAGCAAAATGCAGGCGGGAGCTTCATTCTCAGCTGCAGAATGAAGTACTCCTTCGGCCGCAGAAGAAGTGGGCCAGCTGGGCAGGGCTGTTGGTGCTGCCACCGCGAGGGGAAAAGACCCCCCCAAAAAATAAGACCAGTGCCTCTTTTGGAGGCAAAATAAAAATAAGTCCGGGTCTTATTTTTGGGGAAACATGGTAATTTGAATATAGTAATGAGTTATCAAAAGGCACACAATATACCTGTAGAACAGGAATGTCAAACTGCTGGCCTGCGGGCCAGATGCGTCATGCCAAAACCGCGTCCACCCCATTGCAGGCAATGGAAAAAAAGTTGTGATATGTCGCGACACATCATGTGATGTTGCGAGTTTGACACCCCTGCTGTAGAGGGATAACATCATTAGATGAAAGATTGGTTGTCTCAAACGTTTCGTCCCAGTAACCTCCTACATTGACACAGAGGGTAGCTCTTCTTCTTGCCTTGGGCAGCATTTTTGTAGTTACTGCTGCTGTTATCTTTCTTCCAGAGGGGTGCTGCATTTGACATTCTTCCCCTAATTTCAGCATTTGAATAAAATGGAACTCCTATGAGCCCCCTTTTTTTACATATATTCTTTGCTTTTTTGTATATTCTTTCTTTTTCAGTACTTTTTAACTATACTTGATATTAAAAATAATAAAACAGATTTTTTAAAAGAAAAACTTAGGATCTTAAGATTTGTTAAGTTCAAAAGTATTTAACATTGCTTTAGGAATATCTTAATTATTTCTGGTTATGAATAGGTATAGATAGATATTGTTATATTTGAAATTACATATGTTGGGACGACAGGTCTACTAGCTAACGTTACCTAAATCTTGCCACTTGAACGTTTTTATGTTTGAAAATATGTATGTGTATTTTGAACTTAAGATAAAATTTAGACTTTGACCAGTCTTGTCAAATGCATAAGAATAAGATACTTTTAGTTTTGCTTATTACAGAGGCTTTGAAGAGAATTGATGGAAGAAATGCATGTTCTCTCAGGATGACATAGCAGGCTTCAGAAATTTAGAATTCTTAATACATTTAATGAATCAGTAATGTGATTATTAAGTAAAAAACTTGATAATTATTTACAGACATTTCCTTACATCTATTAGTTTAACAAAAATTAGAGTAGTAACCTTCTTCAATCTTAAGACCTAATCAAATTTATTTGAAGAGCATAATTATTATGATTCTTCTCCATACTGTTTTTTTTCTTGGGAACATTTTGTAGCTTCCAATGTAACTGTAGAACATGTTGTAGTGAGAGAATCCTATCTAAAAATTCCAGAATTTAATTAAAATTAGTTCAAGCTATTTTATAGAATAACACTTAGGAATTAACATTGCTAAGCTTTCCTAGATAACTGAACTTTACATTACTATTGGAACTCTTGATGGAGATCATTCTACATCTATAGTACTCTTGGCTGACTATATTCCATGATTCTTTACTTTCCTTAATTATGATATATGAAGATAATATTTCAGTAATATTTACAACAGGCAGATGGTTCATATGGGACAATTCACAAATGAATTGTTCAGTCATGATTTTCTCTACCTTGCAATAAAACTAGCCAGCTTCAGTATTGAATCAGAGCTAGTATCAGTATGCTCATAGGAAAACCACAAAGTGGTCCATTATCAGGGATTAGATTTTAAATTCTGAAAATAAAAACCATCATTGCCCCATGGTAATTTTAGCAAGTTCTGTTTTGTAGCTCTCCTTGCATGTCCTACTGAGTCATGGTCTATCATCACATGACATTTATCCATGGTTAACTAAAATTGACCCATTTTTTGGGGGGGGGTTAACATAATTTAACTCTACCTGGACTGAATTTGTGTGACTTGAATTGGGATTTTATGATACACTATGTTTTTGTATGATTCAGTGTAGTTTGTAGACACTTTTATATACCTGTGAAGGAAAAAAAATTCACTATATACAAGTGTTTCTCATTCATCAGTGTCTTTTAAGTTTTAAGCATTTGGTATCAGAATATGAATTAAAAACTGCAGCATTGTAACATCCTTGCAATCTTTATCCATGCTGGATTATTATTTGACTGGGAGACTTACAGAAAATACCAATCTAGAGTAGAAAATTAAGGAAATAATAATAGAAGAATGCAATGGTAAATCATTTCAAGTTTTTGAAAATAATGACATAATCATGAAATCGCCAAGTATTGAGTTCACTTTGAAGGAGACTTTATCTTATTATTGTTTTACTTATTTTTCAAGATAGTTTCAACATACATGTTCAATATACAGTATATAATAATTTACAAATTTAGAAATGAAAAATCTAGGGTATTTGTTTCTGAATTTAGAAATTTACCCGTGAGATTACTACATTTTAATTTTGTCTCATTTTTATAAGTCTTCATTTTTTTCTTGCCTTATCATTGTTTTACTTATTTTCAAAGATAGTTTTGACATACATGTTCAATATATAGTATATAATAATTTACAAATTTAAAAATGGAAAATAGTATTTGTTCTTGGATTTAGAAATTTTATTGCAAGATTACTACATTTTAGTTTTACCTCATTTTTATGTCTTTGTTTCTTCTTATCACCTGCTATTGAAATTTGATTTCATGCATATACATGTGAAAAATTAAGAACATTATTTTTACAAAGTATTTTTTATAATGGCATCTCAAAAGTGATTTTTTGCATACATGTTTACCCTGAAAATGCATTAATTGAATAGCAATTGAGAAAAGGTAGGGGAAAAATAAATGTAGGAGAATGTATATTTGGGGCTTTCTAAGAGAAAGCTTAAGAGAATTTGAAAGTATTTCCATTAAACATCACTTTAGCTTTAAATAGTGTATTATATTTGAAGTACTCCAAATTTACAAATCAATGTATTCTAATCTGTTGGAATACCTCTGAAACATGAGTTATTTTCATCAATTTTAAATTTGTGTAAGGGACCATTATTTTAATTAAGTCTGTTCTTCCCTTCTGTTTTTGCATAGTCATGGAATGGGGAGATGATATTAGAACAGTTTCAGAAGATGAAGCTTTGATGCTGGTGAATCATCAAGCAACCGGAGATATTTGCACCCTAATGATGTGCCTTCAAGACAAAGGCACGGTATGCTACTTTGATAGATATTGTTGATATGCTGTACTTGTTGAACAATCTGGGTAATTTTTTCAGAAATATAACATTAGATAACCAATACACAAAATCTATGTCCATCCAATACTTTAATCATATTTTTTATTTCTGTATCTTCTCACATCAACTTACATTATTTACCGTGTTTCCCCCAAAATAAGACCCAGTCTTATTTTTTATTTGCCTCCAAAAGAGGCACCAGTTTTTATTTTTGGGGGATGTCTTTTCCACAGACTCACCTCGTGGCCGGCCTGCTTCTTCTGCGGCTGCTTGCCGCTGTTTGCATGCTTTGCCCCTGGCCTACATTTTGCCGTTGGGCTTTCAGGGGGTGCCGCACGCGTCAATCCAGAATTCGGTTCTCAGCTGTGGAGGCCTTTCCTGAACGCCTCTGACAGCAAAATGAAACCCAGGGGTGACATGTGCATCAATCCAGAGTTCCATTCTCAGTTGCAGAGGCATTTCCTGAAGGCCTCTGACAGTGAAGTGGAGTCGCACTTGACCAATGGCAAGAGCCACAGAAGAAGTGGACTGGCGAGACAGGTGTCGGGGTATGGGAGGCCTGACTGCAACAGTAAGCAGGTGCGTGGAGTGTGGGATAGCTCCATCCCTATCCTAGCTTGATTTTTAGGCATGCGGCTCACCCTAAAACTAGGGCTTATTTTTGAGATAGGGCTTATATTAGCCCCCCCCAAGCTAGGGCTTATTTTCGGGGCAGGTCTGATTTTGGGGGAAACACGGTACATGTCTGTTGTAGAAGCAGGACACACAAGGGTTCAGGTCAGGCAGCATTAAAATCTGTCTGTCTATATCTGTCTATCCATAGCTACCTACCTGCTCTGATGTACAGCCATGATAATAAATAAAAATAAAAATTTACAACCATTGTGACTGAAGTTAGAAATGGCATTGAAAAAAGTGAATTCTGACCATTTTTCATACTTATGATTATTGTAGCATCTCCATGGTCATGTAATAAAAATTTGGATGTTTGGCAACTGATATATATATTTATAATGGTTGCATTTTCCCAGGGTTATGTGATCACCTTTTGCAACCTGACAAGCAAAGTCAATGGGGAAAGCAGATTCACTTAACAATCTTGTTTCTAACTTAACAACTGCAGTGATTCACTTAACAACTATGGCAAGAAAGATCGTAAAATGAGGCAAAACTGACTTAACAACTGTCTTGCTTAGCAATGGAAATGTTGGGTTCAGTTGTGTTCATAAGTAGAGGACTACTTGTATTGAAGTTAAAATAGATATGTAAAGAACAAAATAATCAAATCATTGGACAGTTAAGAGTCTGATGGAAGCCATGCATCTTTACAAATTTCCTAAGCCCTGAAAGATTTGGGGCCAGGTGTAAATGCTAAGGGAGTGAATGCAGTTACAGCTGAGTTTCAAGAAAGATTCCCACATAAGGGTTCTGATCTTTTAAGGCAGGGTTCCCTAACCCCCAGTCCATAGACTGGCACTGGTCCGTGACATGCCAGGAACCAGACCACATAAATAAGTGAAGTCCTATCCACGGGATGTAGGCAGCATGCGAAACCACGCCCCCTCCAGTCCATAGAAAAACCTTTCTCCACAGAACTGGTCCCTGATGTCCAAAAGGTTGTGGGCCACTGTTATAAGGAGAATGCAATTTTATTCAAGCGGTTGAACCTCAGTCCCCAAGTCCTGTTTACAATCTTTTCATCTTGTCTTCATCTAATTCAGCTGGTTCTCTTTTTTTCTTTCACCCATCCCATTTTTTAACTTAAGAAACATTCAAAATTACTGATTGAATTTAGTAGTAGAAAGCCATAGAGTTAGTTGGGTATCATTAGTGTAATATTGCTTCCCTCCTTAACAACCTGCACATCTGGGACTACCTGGATTGCCATTGCTAAATGATGTGGTCATGCATTATATTCACATTGCTTAGCAACAGCACAGGAATCCCAGATACAGTTGCTGTTGAAACTTGAGGACTATCTGAACTATTTTATGTATATCTGTTTTTGTTTTATATTTTTATATTGGGAGACTGGTGATGGCAATTAGATACCTTAATTTGGTCCTCATCTTTTTTCTTATCTCATTTTTGTAGCATAAGAAATTATATCATTCAAAATGGGACAAATAAAATACAAGTTGTCCTCGACTTACAACCACAATTGAGCCCAAAATTTCTGTTGTAAAGTGAGACATTTATTAAGTGAGTTTTGCTCCATTTTACAATGTTTCTTGCCACAGTTGTTAAGTGAATCACTGCAGTTGATTAGTTACCAACCTGGTTGTTCAGTGAATCTGGCTATCCTATTGATTGCTTGTCAGAAGGTCACAAAATGTGATCACATAACCCTGGAACATTGCAACTATCAAAAATATGAACTAGTCATAAGTCACTTTTTTCAGTGCCACTGTAACTTTGAATGGTCACTAAATGAACTGTTATAAGTCGAGGACTACCTGTAGAGAACCTGTAGACTACCTGTAGAGAACATATAATGGCATATTTAAAATGAATGTGATAGGTATAATACAAGAATTAGGTTAACTTTGTCAACTTTGTACATGTACAAAAATTTTAAAAATTAAGTTAACATTGTAAATGAATGCTTTCTAAAACAGAAATGTTTAAAGATCTTAAAAAGTATTATTTGACAGGTATATTTTTTGAATAATCAATATAATTTTGCAAATCCTGTTTATATCTACATATTTGCTTTATATTCTCTTGCTTTTTCTTACCTGAAATAAAAAAAATAAAATTAAAATAAAGATTATGTGAGAGCTTTAAAAATGTTAACTAATGAAAGTAGATTTTAAATAAATGATTTAAATGATTTAGATAAATCATATCCAAAATATTGAAGAAATAACTATCTATTTTATATAAAGTGAAAGTAAGGATTTTAGGAAGAAGGAGAAATATACTGAGAGAATATTGTTTTAGTAAATACTTCTTGAAAGCTAGTAAGCTTTTATCTCTAAGGATGCAATTTGTATTCAGTTTTCTATTTAATAGCAAAAATATTTTTTGTATTTTTTTTATACATTTTTTCTATGGAACAGAAAACTCCTCTCAAATTTTTGTTTTGTTTATATGTAGAATGCACACTATTTCTTATCTCAATTTTCCTAGGTTGTTCGTCGGATGATGTGGCTGATGGATCATATATTTAAATACACAAATTTTGGAATTGTATCTCTGATTCATGGAGACTTCTTTATAAGACAGGCAAGAATTACAAATATTTTAATAGTAAAATCTGCTTTCCTAAATATTTATTTGTACCTTGCTATGATTGTCAGTGTATATGGAGAGCCTTGGTGGCGCAATGGTTAGAATGCAGTATTGCAGGCTAATTCTGCTCACAGCCTGGAGTTCAATCCTGATAGGCTCAAGGTTGATTCAGCCTTCCATCCTTCCAAGGTTGGTAAAAGGAGGATCCCAATTGTTGAGGGCAATATGCTGACATTGTAAACCAGCCAAGAGAGTGCTGTAAAATACTGTGGTACAGTGTATAAGTCTAAGTGCTATTGTGTTGATATTGCTATATATTAAATTGAAATCCATTTCAAATAGTGTCAACAATAAATGAAAAAATTAACAGAATGTGGAGAAACACACAGTAACTTCTAAGAATACCCGTTTAGTTTTATGTGTACTGTAGATTTGTGCCATTTATTTTGTTCACCCACCTAGAAATACCAGACCTCTGTTTACAGCAAACTATGGTTTTTAGGGAATTGGAGTACATGGTTTGCCACAAATTTCTAATTTAGTGTGAGATAGAAACAAGTGAATCCAAACTTTTAAAATATGCTATTAATCTGTGTTTTGGCTTTGTCTGAATGACTTCTCCATATGCCAGATGTGTCCCGTACTTATTTATTTAAAACATTTATATAACCACCCACCTTTCAGGCACTCTGGGCAACTCATTTTAAAAACTGAAACACACTTACCTAAGATTTTAGTGTTTTTACACATATAGATGATTTTTTTGGATTTGAAGTGGAACAGAATATTTTGCATCCTTAAATGTCAGGGAACCAAAAATTGTAATAATGTATCATTGATATATAAAACATTTATATTCTTCATAGAATTATAGATTTGGAAAGGATTATTTAAGCTGTAAAATTCATCTCTCATAAATCTGCATAATAGACATGTCAGGAAAAAATCTGAACAGAGTGACTTTTCTGGTTTTATAGGCTTTTGCAAATACCTTTATTCAATTATTGATTTAGCAAATTCTAAGATACAGTATATTATTAGATAGCCAACAATCAACCCTATCTATTTCAGAGAATACTACTGATGCAGATGCAATATTCTGGTTTTTGGAAATTGTTTCCTGCTGTTCAACAGTGTGTGCAGAAAAAGAAAGTGAAAGTCAGAAAAAGTGATAAGGACGAGCACCCTATTAACTTCAAAAGGATTAAGGTGAACACGTAGGCCAGTGGTGGTGAACCTATGGCACGTGTGCCAGAGATGGCACTTAGAGCCCTCTCTGTGGGCACACGTGCCGTTGCCCCAGCTTCACCTCCCCCCACGACCCCCTCACCAACAGCCCCCATGGAGGAGAGTCGCCCCCGAGAGTGGTCCATATGGAGCAGCGCAGCCAAGGACATGGCAGCCAGGCAGCATAGACAAGACTGTGCTCTCATGTCTCATCCCGTACAGTTGATGCTGCGGGGAGCAAGCAGAGGGCGTGGCCACCATGGCGCGCCTGGGCGATCGGCGGGCCCTGGAGGCGGTGAGTGGCCCTGCAGGCAGGTGGGATGGGGGACGGAGCGGGGGCGGGCAGGAGGTGGAGCGGGGGCAGGCCAATTTTTGGGCACTCGGTCTCTAAACAGTTCGCCATCACTGATGTAGGCTATAAGTTAAAGACAAAAAAAATGGTCCCTGGAGAAAGAAGAGTGAGTTGAAAAATAACATTTCCTAATGGACCATTTTAGAGAGCAGCTGGAGAATGGAAGTAGCCTAGATCCAGACCACAAGGTTGAAAATAGAATGATCATAGCTCTGCAAAATCTGATATCTATTTCCTCCTCTTCTTTAGATCTAGTTCTGTTCTATAACAGTTTGTTGATCTCTCCTTCAGTTTCTGATCACTCCAGGTTTCTATGGGAAAATATGAAAAGAAATGGCCACAGTTTAGAAGTTTTTAATATTTCCATTTGGCTAGAAATTGTTAAGCTTGGGAGACTGAGAAATTAGTTATAAAGCTAGCAACAAAAGAAATAATGACAGGAACATATTTTGATTTTATATCCCCAAATATAAAAGATGATGTCAATGGGGGAGTATAAAGGGCATAGGGAATGACCTTGAAGGCAGGAGAAAGAGTAAATATCGGAGCAATGGTCAGATAAGAGGGGATTGCATAAACATATCAGGCAGGCCCCTCCCTTCCCAACATGAAGATAAAAGTGGAGGAGGACATATTCATCTGTTAAAATAAAAATCTTGATCTATATGGCATTGTTTTTTTAGTCTAGTCTACCTTGTTTGGCTACAGGGAGAAATAGAAGAATAATTAATTCACAGATAATTAAATTTCCTGTTCTCTGGGAAGTTTACATTTAACTGGATTAGTGCGGAACAAGTTTATAAGACTGATTAGATTGTCTTTATTTACTCTGTTGAACAGATTCTGTGTTCACTTTTTCCTTTATTTTTTTTTTAAATTAAGATTAAAAGAGCTACTTTTTTTAACATAAAGCTCATCTCATAATGCTTTTTCAGCTTTTGGATGTTTTTTCTAGGATAAGGAAGGGGCAGAATTATTTCTAAAATTAAAGCTTCGTGCTTAAGTCCACTTATAAGAAGTGATTCAATCTTTGCCCATCTGCTAACTTGAACCTTAGTAATGGAAACTTAGAAAAATGCATAAGAAAGAAATAGTTTTAAATTTGCATAATTTCTGTAAATCATTTTTAACTGAATATAGTGCTTACCTCTGTGAAAATCAAATTACATATAATTACACTGTCTGCTAATCGTTTTATATATCTGCAGGTCTCCCCTATGAATGATGTCCTTACTTCTGTATACATACTTCCTAGGACCAGAATAAGATTGCATTCTTTCTATTGTCCATATATTTTTACCTTAATGTTTATTTATTTCATTTGTGTCCTATCACAATCCCACAAAACTCTGATTGGTTTATGGGAATACAACAATTAATGCAAAGTTGGTATGCAGTCATCTTTACTATTATGTACAGTTAGTGACCATTTATGGAGATTGGGAATCTGAATAATATTTTCAGATTCAGGACATGTGACTACCTATCAAGGCATTCTCCATGTAGCTTTCCTCAGGTGCCACTGTCGGCATCTGAGGAGGTTCCCTTTTCAGTTTCCTTGAGTGAAAAATCATTCTCAATCCTTCTGAGGAGTGGAGGGAATGGAGGAAGTTAAAAATAGAAAACACAAACATGTAGAATAAATCAAAATCCCTATTGTCATATCTCAGAACACCATCTGGAAGAGTTCTGTTTTCAGTGCATCTGTAAGGCAATTCAAATAACTGCTTGCCTAATCTCTAGTGGCAGAAACAGCACTTTGAGGTTTTTCCCCTTCCCCCTTCCCCAAACTGCTTTTTTCAAGTCAACTTGATCAGTGGGTAGGTGACTACGGTCCTGAAGGTAACATAGTGCCATAAAGGGTTCTCTAGGTCACGATCAGCACTTAAACTTGAATGAAAGCTATCCTTTTTTTAGTTCTGTTAATAGTATTATTCTTTTACCAATCCTTGTTAGTGAAGTGTAGAAATTTATATCTATCTATCTATCTATCTATCTATCTATCTATCTATCTATCTATCTATCTACTAAGCGACCCAAAAACACATAAGCACCAGGAATATTATAAAACTATAAAAGTTTAATACAATTAATCACCTAGTTTTTGTCGGCAGCTACTGACATCGTCAGGGTACAATGTTAGTCGATGGGAGAGTTCATTTATAGGTAAAGCGCTGCTTGCACCTGGCTCCTAGATCTCGTCACAGGTCCCAATTGGCTAAGCCGCGCTCTAGTCGTAACTTCCGTATCAGTGACTGTGCTTTTCTTGCATCTCCTGCCTACGTGTGTATTATTATGCATTCTCCCCTCATGTGGTCCTAAGTTGGGGGAGTTTTCTCCCCCCCTTTTTTGGTTAGTCAGGAGCTCCGCATCTCTCAGCTGCCCTCTCTTCTCGCACTTTCTCTCCCCTTGTCTGGGATGTCCTGCTATAATATATTCTCTCTCCCCTTCCTCCTTTCCGTATTCCCCATCACATCCCAGTTGCCATCTTTTCTCTTGTGGAGTTGCGCCCTTAAAACCTTCCATTGATTCTTGCTCTCCATTTCCCCCTTCCATTCACATGGTCATCGTTCTTGTGGCTGCTGTCCCGTCTGGCATCTACTTTCTCCTCCCCCCCATTTCTAATACTGTTGGTCTCCGTATCATCTTGGGCGTCTCGGGCGTCACTTCGTGGCCCCCGTTGGCGCAATAGGGCTGTCCCTGTGAGGCCAATTGATGTAACCATCCTCCCCCTTCTCAGGTGCAGTCGATGTTGCTGCCTCGAGCCGGCTCCTCCTGTCTTCCCCATTCGGGGAGTCCAGTGGAATCCTAGGTTTGTTGATTGTCATTCCTTTACCACCTGACAACCCCCTTGTTCTTTGGGAGTGCGTATGTGCTCCCAGGGTGGGGAGTCCTTTGATCCTTGGTTATCCCCCACCTGAATGTTCGTAGGTGGGGCTACTCCTCCCAGATACTTCGGGAGGCACGGGGGAGTCCCTGGTTCGTTAACTGGTGTCCCTTCGTCACTCAATAGTCCCCTTGTTCTTCGGGGGCGTGTGTGCGCTTTCAGGGTGGGGGTGGAGGTGGAGGGAAAGCCTCTCAGTTGTTGGTTATCCTCTGTCTGGATGTCCATGGGTGGTGTCACTCCTCCTAGGTGCTTCAGGAGGCGTGGGGGAATCTCTGGCTCGTTGGTCGCTGTTCCTTCGCTACCCGGCAGTCTCTTTACTTTTTGGGAGCGTGTACATGCCCTCGGGGTGGGGGGGGGGTCTTTTGGCCGTTGATTATTCCCCACCTGGATGTTCGTGAGTCGTTGGGGTGAGGGACTCATCTTCTCCATGGTTTCCTTCTCCGGGACCCGCGGTGCGATGTCAGGTTGCTTCCACCTGGATGGGTGATCATACGTACTCTATGCCCTCAGTGTCAAATGTTATGTGCA